ATTCACACGTAAATTCTTTACTTGAGAAATCTAAAAAATATAGTCACAATACTAGTCACAGTCAAAATTAATGAGTCATAATGACTGATATCTGATAGCTTTACACAGTTTGCAGGAAAGCTGTAATGTAAAGTGTTCTCACACTTTTAACGACTTGTGTCAGCAGGTTTCATCTCCTCCATTTTTCAAATGTTTACTCTAAAAAGGAGACGGCGTTGTGAGCCACACAAGGCACGGCATTGGCTTTGCTGTGTGTACTGTGCATTATAACAGACTTGATTAATCAAATACTAAATTAGTTGCCAACTGTTCTAATAATCAATTTGCAATAGTGACTTTTTCGCTGGAGAATATTAGATGTCTAACTAGACAAGACTGAGGTGACCAACTCTAGAAGAGTAACACAGAGGAACTCAAGCTTGTAGAGCTACTAGAGTTTTGCTTTAAATGGTTTATTGATTTTAGAGTTTCCTGTTTCTTTGTTTTCTTTTTCCTGTTTTCAGTTGGCTACTATACACACACCCAAACGCTGCAGCACAGAAGCACTCAGTCTTTTGCATGATTAAAGGGACTGCATCGACTAAGTGTTCATTGTTAGTGTATTGACATCATCACTTTAAACAGGCTTGTATAGATTTTTTTTTACTGAAATGATTGCATTTTTTAGAACTCATTTTTTATTCAACATGTAACATTTCAAAGCGTCAGTGGCAGCAAAGGTAGTATGAGGGTCAAGAAGAGTGTGTATATTTTTTTAAGAACATGGCGATCAGGGCGTCCCAGCATGGAATGTAAACATGAATCTATTTGAAGATGCAGGCAACACACACAATCTCTGAACTTCGCACAGTTTCTGCGACAAGATTTTTAGCCTGGTGTTGTCATAAAAATCTACAGAAGATAATTAGCACAGTCGCTCGTCACTTTGTATACACTCAACTGGACTTTCCCTTATAAGGCATTTCAAGTCTTGAACCTGCTCACAAGTCGTGGCCTGACAATGGAATGCAGTGTTTTTCTAGGTTTGGAGCAGTGCAGTGAAACTGCAGTATCATAATCTGAGTTGAGCTTTTTCAGCTGAGTGTATCTCTATTATTGGTCATTATCTTATGGTCATTATTTCTGTTATATTGAAAAAAGTGATCTTTTAATATAGTCACTTTGTTTTTTTGCCGGATGACTGCAAATGTAAAACTGTGTTTTCTCTATTACAGTGATAGCTGACATTTTCACCTAATATTATTGCAATGAACAAAAGGTGCCATTCTTTCCAATATGAAGAAAATGTTTAAAACACAAATGCAGTATAATCAAGTTATCAGCCTTAGATCATCATGTCATTACATTCCAATGAACTCTAATAGAATTCCACCTTGAACTAATTTGTTTTACTGAAGTGTGTAAACAGTTAACACAGAACCCTACACCTACAGTATTTTAGTATTCC